CGCTCCGCCGGATGTCTTTCTTATGGTATAGATATTCTTTGGATCGGATGATTTGTCGATGGGTTAGTTTTCTCGGTGGTCTCTACTCCACAACAACCTTTCCCTCTCTCCGCTGTTCTTGCTCCTATGGTGATGGAGTTTGCTTATTCGTCTCTCCCAGCGCTGCGGCCTGCTTTGTTTCTCTTGTCAGCTAGGTCTATGGGCCGAATCTACTACTGTTCCGGCTAGATGTGGAGGGCTAAGCCCAAAGCTCCTCCGTCTCCTTGCCCTGTTCTCATTGTGGGAGTGCACCTTGAGGCCTGCTTCGTTTGCTACGATTGATGGTCCAGACTTTAGCCTCAGAGTTGACCGTCTTCCAACCTCTTGAAATCAAGGGTTTGTTGGAGAGTACTCTTAGGGTTTGTCTCTGCCTTTGCCACAATCGAAGTTTAGGAATCTTGTCTCCTCGCATCTTCTAGAGATTTCTTCTCTTGCTCTGATGGCGGTCTACTGTGTCGTCGGCTTAGTACCGGCGAGATCGTCCCCTTGCTCGGCGACGGCGGTCCTGTGTCACCATTTAGGGTTTTTCTGTTTTTGGTGTCTAGGGTTTGGGTATTGGACCGGGTTACGAGTTTGTTGAGGCCCATTAGATTTTTTTATAGGGTTACCTAATCAGATCCATTCTAGGCTTTATGGTTAAACTGTTATTTCTGCTTCGAAAAAACAAAAAACACAAAAGTATTTATTTTAATGCAATGAAAAGTTTCAAAAACAAAACAATAGCAAATTAACAATATAGGTTGCCGTTAATTCTATTAAGTAGATGAGCTGCCAAAAGACCAAAACACATTTGTATTTGTGTGTGGTAACGCGATGATTAGACATGTAGTGTTAGTCGAAATACACTTTTTCGATATGCTGCAGTATTATTGTCCAGATTTTTAGGTGAGGTGAGAGAAGGTCAAGCAGTTTGCAAGTTAGTGTAAACAACACAAAACCAAACCGCATTAATTTCATTTGTTTTTCATAATTACATTCATATATATAGCATACCATAATTAAAATTGACATTACAGATTTCCAGGAATCGATTCCGGTTGTGATATGTGATTTCGAGCAAAGTAGTGTCGTAGCGAATTTAAGTATCAGCAAACCTCATCTTATGCATAAGATAAGATTTG